GCTTCAGCCTCCGCGCCTAGCCACCCCAATGCCGGCTACCCACACCGACATTATGCATATGAATAGTCTTGCCTGTTCGCGATAAAGATTACTATTATAAACAACTGCTTTATTGAAAATGAAAATAAATTACGCGGATGTGACGGTTTGAAAGCGATTTCATTGAGGTACCTGTTATAAAGTCATGTAGGTATCAGTCATACATAACTGATAATGTCTCAATAGAAAAAATATACCTATCCAGATCCCATTTGAGTTCTGTGCGTACATATAATATGCAAGGCCGAACGGAGGGCGTCACTCCCCAATGTGCTCACGACAATGGAGATGAGCATTCAATGCTCACTCGTAAATGGCGCGAATAGCTCTCTTCCGGGCGTTGCGGTCGGTAGACATAGTAGACGTTTCACATAATATACAAAGCTCAATATCCTTGTGAATTAACCTTCTATTAATTTTCAATATAAAAGCAATATCTGAAACTATTAGGTAGAAACTGTGTTTGGAGAGTATGTTCTTTAAAATTCTTAACGAGTTATTGATAACATCTTCAGATAAAATGCTAAAAAAATTACATAAATGTAGATATATGATAAAATACACACCAAAAAAGAAGAAAATTTACTTGCTATAGACTGAGTTTAACTGTAATAGCATTGATTTGCTGAAATTGGTATAGGGAAGTAAATCTCGAATAATTTCCAGCTCCCTTCTAAACCAAGTGATTCGCACGCTGAACCAATCAATATTTGATTACATGTAAACGACTTTTTATGGTGACTTATAAAATTCTTCTGGATTTTGTTTTGCCACAGGCTAAAATTCAATCAAGATTTCAAGAAACATTCACAATATAACTAATAAGGTTACGAGTATAACAGTCATATCATAGCCTGAGCTGTGCTGACGAAATACACCATCTGTGAAGCGTTATCTAATATTGGAGATACAGTAACAATCATCTGAATGCATACTGTTTGATAACGGTATGCCTAAATCGGTGACAAGAGTACTAAAGAAAAGTTATTTTTTGCCTGAAGATCAGAAAACTCAAGCAGAATCAGTCTCGATGACACCTCGGTATCGAATCGGTATTAATACAGGGTGTGTTAAATGACTATAGGTTAAGAGGTTACGACTTTCTAAAAGTAAAGGGTAAAACTATAAACATCGATGACATGTGATCTAAAAATGGACTAAAAAGGTGACAGGGGAAAACAATTCCTCGTTCGACACGAATGTTGAAATGACAGTGTTGTGACTAAACATGATAAGATAAAATATGAGCATGTCATAAAGTTTAAAAGGGGCTTCAGTATCGAATGTATGAAAAACGCGGACAGGAGTAGAACATAGTACATCTATGTACATGAACGTACTATATCTATGTTCTATTCCCGTCTTTAAATTGTAAGAGAATACCTACTACATACTGAATGTAAGGCCTCAGGCAAATTACATGTAACACTTATAACTGATTTTTATTACAACTTTATTGAGTAACTTCTAAAGTGAAAAAATTAATGGACCTCTGCAGACCTCTGCTCTTTTAGCTATACTATGTTATTACAAAATGGTCTTCGTCTAAAAACTGTTCAATGGCACAATAAACATAACATGCGATGTACGCGCGTCTGTTGGTTACGTATGCAAATCAGGCACGCGTATGGTAACTTCACGTCACACCAACTTGCTATTCCTACAACACATTGTGATATCGCAGCTAGTAGACATCTATCAACTAAATAAATATCGATATCCGTTCACTTTTTACTAAAACAACCCAATAGAAATACGTGACTTCCTTCTATGTTAAGGGTGAAAAATATTAAGGTGAAAGAATTGAAGTCTACTTGTAAGGCAACAGTTAAAAGTTGACGTCAGAAAGAGTACAAATATCATAGTTTGTTTGAAACAACAAGGAAGTAATATCAGTTATATGAAATAAATACAGGTAAGTTTGGTTTCCTAAAGTTGCTAGGCAGGTTTCAATTGATTGCAGAATTCTCCCAAAGAGCGCCACGACTGAGCAACGGCATTTGTAAGCAGATAAGTGTGAGCTACTATAAATACTTCACTTACAGTTATCGACATTTAAGTATTTTTTTTATGAGAGATGATCAGAATAGAGGTAACATTCATTCGTATATGTAAACCCAAAAAAAAGATCATATGGGTACAAAACAATAATATAATAATGTCTGTCGGAAAAAGCAGCGCGTTGATGCCGGTTGCATCACGGGGCGTTCGCTCGGTTCGCCGAGCCAATCTCTTTGACACTGCACCCTAGGTGTACCCTTTTTAACGGACCGCCGATCACGTTAATTAACCGTTTTCAATTTATTTTACACATTTTTGTTTGAAATTTACAATTACACGTCAGGATTTTCAATATCCACTGACTTGCCATCGTGCTGTTTAATTTTAGACTCGAGATTAACACTTTACTCAATAACATACAATGCAAGATAGATACATCTTTAAATAGTTATAACCACACGCGGAATTTCTCTTGCCGCACGCAGGGATCTCACGCGAACGATCACGCCACGCAACATTACATGGAAAGTAGTATAGATTTTATCAAATAAACTTGTGATGATTGACTGTACCCTGTACTAAAACTTGAAATTCCCTAATGTTTTTATAATATAAGCACATGCGAAGTCATTAGCTCTAACTCCGATTTTTAACCACGTAGTCATAGAAATATATATTTTCCACCATTAGTGTATTTTTTTTATTGATTTTTGACAATAAACGTGTACCTACTAATAGCTATACACACTGCGTACTATATATCTACATGTTAATATGCAATACGTGTTGAATTGTGAATGGAAGTCAGTAGGTACTGCAGTAAGTACACAGACATTACATTACCGCGGTTCCCAAAAATGTTTCATATGTTCGTTTATTATATTAAGACATAAACAGTTAATATGATTATGTCATTCCATAACATGGAATTCCGGCGAAGATCTGACAGCGTCTGACAACGCTATTCGATCTGGTTGGTAATCCAAGCAGACACCTGACAGGCAATAAGTAGGACGAACGCATGGCTCTGAGATTATCACTTCACCTACGAGGAATATTGATCTTATTTGAGCTTGATTAACTTTGTCGTTGTCGACGTCGCTAATAATACCAAAACTCTGGCACCGGTCCAGGCGAGACCTTAATAGTACTTCAATACACGATAATTCTCAAAGGTGACACACTATAATGTGTGATTCGATGTCATAGTATACTATGTTATAAAAGTAGTTGAGACTTCACCAATTATTCTTATCCTGATAATTTATATACATGACAGACTAGGCCTGCAGTATATTATAACCCCATTCATATACTCCAGCTTGTTCACTTATTGCCTCGTGTATGAGCCAAATATAATATTGCAGTTGACTTCGACACCATTTACGATGAATTGGCTTTTATACGGTAAACCTGGCAAACACCAACTTAAATGCAGTAGCATCATTCTAATTTCTAACAATCATTTTTCTAACTTTTTATTCATAAATTCTGAACATATTTCAAACTAAAATCTAGGTATGCGAGGTAGCTGTTGATGACAGGAAATAACTGTGATTAATATTACACTTATGTCCGGCAAACAAAGACCAAAATTTAATTTATATTACGACAATTAGAAGCTAAAAAAATAAGAGTGTAGAGCATATGCTATTAAGACAATTCTAAAATATACTAAGCACTAAATTACACTATGATGCGATACTCTATCTACTTAAATTTGTCAGTCAGTATTATTACTAATATTTTCGAAAGTTTTGATAATCGAGTTTAAAGTTTGTATTTGCTAATTACTTACAAAAGTATCGAAGTTAGCAGACTACAACGAGTTTTAATCCTTAAATGGTTTGAAAGCAAAGCAGATTTGTACTTATAATGGCTTGAATAAGATTTCTTAAATTGTATTTAAGAATTCTGGTGTGCAGTGATTACTTGGTATATGACAAGTAACCTTTAAGAAATTTTATTTCATCTTGTCACATGAATTTAAAAAGAGGTTGCTGTTTTTAAAACTTATAACGTAGATATTTTTGTTACGAGATCTTTGTTATACATATTTGTATACACCCTAATAAATGACTCTGACATGGCAGGAACATCAAATACCACTGATTAATTAATTACTTCAATTCATAAGCATAACATGGCGTCTGCAGATCAAAGCGTGGTTGATACTTAGTACGGTTTCTGGCCTATATCAATGTCACGCCTAGCCTGAAGCAATTTAATTTATTGATGAGAAGAGGCTAGCATGCAAGCTTAATAATAAAAAAGTGTGAAGGTTGTGGATACATTTAAAGACTACTTGTGTGCTATAAGGGTAGCTTATATGGGTCAAAAACATCATTCAAATTTGAACCATAAAGTCACCTTAAAATAGGTTCCGCGTCCAATCTTGCGTGTTTCATAAAATATAGTAGCTTTTAAGTGCTCACGGCACAAGGATTTGTTAAAAAGCTCTGAGATGAAAAGGGGCTGCAAAAATCTTTTCATCTTAACTCTAATAAAATCTATGCGTACATATATATTAACCTTGATTTCTCCTTCTTCTCCTTCTTTGAGGTCGTATATTTTAAGTAAGTAAAATTGTGATATTTCATACATGAATTAAACAGGATCATTACCTTTAGTAAAATAGTAAATGCTACGTGAAAATTGACCCATTGAATTAATTAAAATATCGTTAGTTACCGATTATTTAATACGGGACATTTTAGGGATAGGGAAATAAATAACAGGGTTGAGATGGCTTTCTTTTTTTGAAGTATTTCATTACAGGAGCGTGTGTTTGTATATGTGATTGATGTAAATTATTTGATACAAGTAAATGGAAATACAACTAATGAAAAAGGAATGCTGAAAGTATATTTAAGATGAAGGTTAGTAAACTATTAACTAGGTATTAACTGTTATGTGAATACATTCACATGCATTCGTGCCAAGTAAAAAATAGTAAATACCAGTAGGGTAGGTGTTCCCGTATCGATGACATTGCCGTTACTCACCTGAAATAAATAAAAGCAGGTGACTTCCGAGTTGTTAATCCAAATAAAATATTTACAACAATCCAATGACAATTATAGTCTAAAACTTTATTTTCTTTAACTTCATCAAATAAACTAAAGTTTTCACAACTTTAGTTTATTTGGGCGTCATAATTGAAAAATAATTCAAATACAATTTCAAACGATGAACAAAATATATCTTTAAAATCTCTTATTGATCTTAGTTAAGTAGGTGAAATAATAATTACATTTTATTATTCCTAACAAAAAAGGATCAATACAATTTAGAATTAATAAGATACGCGGTTGACCGCTCATCTCAGCGAAAATTCAGTGTTTTGTTTAGAGTGGCTGTGTTACGTATCTTAGTTACGGAGATATTATTTAATACGGCCCAATGCTTAAGCTTTGCAATAAATTATATGATTAAGGACAAGGACGAGAGTATTAAAACAGTTCAGAGATATCTTTTCAGTAAAGAGCTAACGTAAGCGATGCACTTTCGACGTCAGGTATTGCATTGCGTTATCGAGTCCGATGGTCGAGTTAAGAGGCGGCACGACGCCGAACATCGCCGTCCGCGGGCCGAGCAACGTTGGCACCTGCCCAAGTATTTTTCATGCGCCTCACTCTAGACTGGGATAAGTTGCCCTATTCACCTGAATCGGAGTACGAATACATTTGAATCAAAGCGTAATTTAAAAATAAACCACAATATAAATCCGCTTCGTTTTGTCTTGTTCAGTAGTTGCTTCAAATATCTATCATTGGTTTATAAAAACTATGAGCCCTTTTATTTATGTAAAGTTTATATACTTAAATAATAAATTAGAAATACAATATAACATGACGTTTTATACTTTTACCTTGATTTCTTTGTGTGTTAAAAGAGTAGGTGTAAAGTAATTTTCTTTTTTTATTACATAAACATGCTAAAATATTTAACCTTTTGAAAGGTTTAAAGGTCAAGCCACAGAGCCATACTCTTATTATTAGTTGAGCTCTAAATAAACGTTAATTGAAACCTGATGCAAACATAGTATCAAAAAATGCATAAAAATAAAATATTCAGCCGAAACCTAAAGCAAACCAGTGTTGTTAAAAGTTCGGTTTATTTAGTCAAGAAGAATGTAGACATTGCTGAAATCATATATTTATTAAGGAGACTTCCCTAAGAATGAAAGTACTATTTCACAAAAAAAGAATGCATTAACGTATAGTCGTATACTTTAATCCAGATTTGAGATTTGAAAATTTCGAAGAATCTCTAATGGTAAACTGATGGAAAAATTGCCCTAAAACATTAATCTTTCACATAATCATTCAATGAACTTGTGACATAATGGTGAATGACAGGTTTGTACTTTTACCTAAATATAACTCGTATAAATGCGATTTATATTTAGCTAAAAGTACAAACCTGTTTCAAAGGCAGAGTGTATTCTTAACAAACGGCGACAGCATTTATTAAAAGTTTATAAAGTTTTTTTTGATAAAATAGTTTGTTAGATTTTATAGAATATTGTCCAGAAAAAAACCCAGCAAAACAAGTAGTTATGCTAATTGTATTTATGTACTAACTTTGAAGGCTTTGAAGGGGAGAAATGTTTTATTGCCGCTAAATTATCGTAAATATTACTTCGTAACTTAACTTTTTCTATTACTAATGACTATTCTACTAAACGAACGAACGAAAGAAACGTTCCAAGTACATTTAATGTATTATATACATACTTAGACCTATTCCTACTTAACTAATTCTACCATGAAACATTGTTACAACTAAATAGCAATAAAGCATTAAAAGGAGTCTTACTGACAATTCAGAGACAAGTTTATAGGTAAAAAACACACTACTACTACTACATAAATAATGTTAATCCTAGAATTGTAAGAAAATTAAATATAATGATGATTATTTTGACAAATACATTATTTTGACCAATAATAGATTAAGCGCAACGTTGAATGAATTACGTTAGTTCTCGCTACATCAACATGAGTTTGTGGGAGGTCTTATTAATTATATTTAATTTATTCTCAACACATGAAAAATGTAAAAATACATTTTACAAAACATCTTATAATCTAACAGAGCTTAGCTACAATAACATTGAAGCCTACATCACTTTGACAATAATGTAAGTAAAAATGATATACGGTGCTTGAATAACTTTCTTCGTAAAATTCGGTTTTAGATTCGGCCCACAGATAATAATGATAGGCTATAAAGAGAGTGTGCACAGCAAACAAAAGTATTTTATAGAAAGACTGCTATACAAAACAACGGGCTAAACATGTACGGCTTGTCCTTCGGTCTTCAGGTACACATGCTAAATATTTCACAAATTGAAAGACCCACTTTTATTTTGAATAAACAAGTTTATAATCTTACCACAGAGAAAGGTTACTCAGGTAATCGTGCGAGATTAAAAACACTTTTATTGTGTACGATGTTTTCAAAAGATTTTTTAATAACTATTTCTTGCATAGTTCTACGTGTATGACTTGTTTAACAACTAGTTTAATTTATAGCACGTCACCTCATGGAAAGTGACTAAGATGAGGATTGTAGCCTATCGAAAATAAATCTATACTCGTATACTGTACTCTTTATAACAAAACTATATTTATGTCAAAAATGACAGATTTTGGCAATTTGAACCAAAAATATTTATATTACATTTATATTCTATTATTTCTTTATATCAATTGTCTTAAGCTGTTAGTATATTTCTATGTACACAGTTTTAAAGTGCTTCATAAAGTCAATCTTTATATTTATATTGATAAAAATTTTTAGTTGTCCTGTAATTTTCATTCGATATCTATGCCTTGCCTTATACCACATACTGTGGTGGAAATATATGGACGCCACTGAATTAACTTCTCACGAAGATGCCATACATCCCTCATGTTTGGTCTTTATTTATTATTCTACGCGGTTAGTATTACGTATGAATAACCATGGGCAGTGCTCCCAAGTGGGCGTTCCCTGTGTGAGATGTGGATGTATGATGGATGGTAATAAATTAAGCACTTTTATCATCTAATACAAAATTTAGACTGCATTAAAGTTTCAGTGTTTTAAATAATGTATTTGGTCATTGCATTAGGTACATTAAGTCATATTGAATAGGCAGTGGCGTATAGTCATAATTTGCTAATTACAGAAAGTTTTGAATCTTGACGAGATTCAAAGCTTTCTGTGATTAGCAAATTCTAAATCTCTATAAAAACGATATTTTGGCTCTGTATCACCCAAGGTAGCTTGAAAAAAATGCCTACGGTATTAGGTCTGCCTTATGTTTTATAAATAAATGAAGTCTAATAAAATAAAAATACAGCTCCTATGCGGCTTCTTTTTAAACCAAAACTATCATTTACAACCTATGATTTACAAAACCACAAAACAGCACATACCTTAATTCTAATATAAGGATAATACAAGCAAAGGTACATCTGTTTTATATTACATTTTTGTGAACACCGACGTCTAAACTAGGCCGAGCCTGTATCTTACAACGTCCCGTTCGCTAAACAAGATTATCAGTACAGAAATACAGACACCCTTAACATTAATTTTACAGAATTTATATATATATATATATTATAACAATAATTTTATTTAATACTATAGTTTTTTGCACTACTCGTACAATGACAAAAAACATCGTAAATGAACAACATTCACTATTCAACAAAATCACCCGTCAACGAATGTTTTTCTATACGAGGCTAAACCTCCATATACTAACGTAGGACTAGTAGTTTAATTCGAACCGACTAAAACGTGAAGGTAGAACAATATAACACTTCTGAACAGTCGACGCCACACTTTTGCATTTTGTTTTCAAATGACCATTATTATCCTGATGACAAGAAATATACGTTTTATTACAAATTACGCATAGAATTCATAAAATAATTAAGTATTCACTTTTTATTTTTAGAATTACATACTTTTTTTTGGTTTGGAATTTAAATAATTCCCAATCATTTAATAAGCCCGCATTAGATGGCTCTTGAAGATATGTTCTGGGGTAATTACAAGACGCATAATTCGTGAACGTTATTGTAATAAAAACAAGTAACTATTCATATCTATCTCTGTAAATCTAGCTTAACAACAAACCCCATAGGTATAAACGGAACATATTGTCCTCTTTTGTATAGGCGTGTTCTTCATCCCTCAGCTGTCTGTTTGCTAACCGCAAATGCCGGTAAAGCTAAGTATTTTCTACGTCAGAGTACGTAGAAAATATTTTAGCCTTTTCGCACAATTATTTCAATTATTTCATGGACGGAAGAATATTTACTTAATAATCATAGTCGTCATGCAGTTTAGAAAGCGTGCCTAATACATTTACATGATCATCATCACTAAGATCAATAACAATTTACAAAGTTAAATATACTGCTCATGTTCTCGTTAACGAAGTAAATATATTTTTTAAGTTTTAACATTTTGATACCATTTGACGAACATAGATTCGCTTCGATGCTTGTTTCAGTAAAACACGTCAACAATAAACCTACAAGACCTACAGCATAGGTCACACTAATGCTCTCATAATCCTCAGAATGGTTGGAACTTTCAATCGAGACAGAACAAATAGCACAACATTCTGTTAAATGTGTTTCTTTATGGTATTTCAGAGCCCTAAAGACATACAGACCAAGACTTGTGTGCCATCGGACACTGAATTGTTTACAACACATAAGTTTCAAACTGTAAAACTTTCTTCGAAATGGAAATAGCTTGGATTTAGTACTAAATTGAAAGATTTATCTACGCTGTTGTGATATATATTTATATATTGTGTTTTTTAACATAATACATAATATTACTATTCCGTTTTGACAGATTGTAAAAATTAAATCTTTTGTGGTCTGTGCCTCGATGAACATGATCATCAAGGACAACAAGTATTGTGAGTCAGTACCTTAAAATATGCTAACAAAGAGCTTAATATTGAAAAAGCAGTAACGCATTATAG